TAGAAAATTTTAGAAACCATCGATACAAAAATTGAATGTAAATAAAATTTCACTCAAGATGGCGTATATCGTGTCTCATCATCTGTCCTGCCTTCTGTTTCTCTGCGCTTTTCGACAACCGACGACTGATACAGAGCCCGACTTCCACGATTTTCGGTTTCGAGATGCGAATGGCAAAAAAGAAATCAATATAGAAAAAGAAAAAAACAGAAAAAAATGAACATTATTAAAAAAAAAAAAATACAAATCAGAAAATCCGCTTCACAAGAATAAAAAAAAATATAAATGAGAGAAAAGGTGGCCGACAGGTCTCACTGCACACACGGCTCATTTTGCCTCTTTCACGTATTACACGCGGCCCGGACGACTTCCTTCTTTATTTACTTATGTTACTTATCTCTAGCCATTTCCTTTTTCGTTTCTTAATTCTGGTTACTCTTGTAGAGAGTGTTGTTCTGTATAAAGTGTTCTGTTGCAAGTTGATTTTTTTGAAAATGCTGCAAATATTGACTTCTATAATTTTTATGTCAAATATGTGATAATTTCGAAAAAATTCATTTACATAACATTTTATAGTATAAAAAATTTATTGAAAATAGAAAAAATATTCTTATTTTTGTTTTTTTTTTTTTAATAAAATGACATTAATTTTTTGTTATTTAGATAGCTGATCATTATATCTAATAAAATTTACTTAAAAAATTTTTTTCTGTTTTGCATATAGATAGTTTTGTAGTGAGGAATTCTTCTTAAAATATAGGGAAAGGAATTTACGTTGCATGTTTCAATTTTTTTTTCTTTATATTCTTTTATTTAAAATATTTTTTATTATAACTTTCAAATTATGACAAAATAAAATATTTCAAGTAAATGTTATTATATATTTAAAAACAACTATTGAAATAACAAAGAATTAATATACTATTTTTATTTATTATTTAAAAAGTCAATAATTTTTTCCATTTCTGTAAAATTTTTTCACTCTAAATTATTGTTTTCTATGTATCATTTAATTCAATTAAAACGAATCATATTAATATTTGTAATAATTTCAAAGAAAACAACTTGTAATACTTTATACGAATAACTTTCTACATATTATTCTCTTTATTTATTCTTTTCGTTTATATACGTTTCTATTTAGTTTCCTTCTTTTTTTTACATTTGTCTTGTTTTCTATATTTGAGTTCTGTGTCTACTTCCGTTTCTTTTCCTTGCGAAGTATGTCACTCTACGGGAGACACGCTATAGCTGATCTAATTGGGGGCGGGTTGGTATTGGACAACAATGTGAACAATAAGCGTTTTGTACAACAAAACAAAGACCAGTATGCATGCGTGGCACGAGAAAAGGTAGATTTACATAGGTATATTATTTAATACATTGCGCTTAAATTTCTCTCTTTCTCTCTTTCTCTACACGATCCCACTGCTATTTATGATATATTTCTATCTCTCTCTATTTCTGTTTTTATAAGTTCCTAAATTTATATCTGCCTGATATAAAATATATATCATTTTTTTTCTTTTTTCTTCTTTATTTCTTTATTTTATCTATTATATTACTATTTCTCTCTCTCTTTCTCTTTCTTAGCTTACACATACGATTTTATTCTTGGCTTTCTTGTTTCTAAGATATATTATATCTATGATTTCTCTTGTTTACATTATTTTCGATAAAGTCTGATTAGAAACCCTATATTTCTGATACGCCTTCTGATTCCTTGTAATCCCTTTTTCTGAAAGTATATTTTGTTAAATGAATAAATAAGATGAATTTAAATTTTTTTTGTGAAAAAAATAATCCTCTGATGATGATAAATTCATGATGAATAATTATATGCACTTTGTTGGATTAAATTTTTTGTAAAGAGAAATATTTAAATTTTTATATTATTATTTTTTGAAATGAAATTAAGAAAATTAAATTTTTGTGAATTCTTATAAAATACGTTTTCACATAAAATTATTTTGAAAATTTAAAAATAATTTTTATAAATATAATCATTATAAAACCATATCTAATAATTAGAAAAAATTACAGAATTAAAATTTTTTAAATTGCTTGGAATGATATGATGATTTAAAATCAAATCAAAAAATTTAAAGAGTTTTAATAATTTAAAAAATAAAAATCAAAATTATATACATACCTTTTATAAAAAGAAAAAAATTCATTCTTTTTCACATTTTAAATATTATTGTTAAGGAGTTAACTTATCATCATCATTAATTTATCAGAGCGCAAAATATTTAAGATGACCAAAAGCATATATATAAAATGATCTATGTAACTAGGACAAAATTTTTTTCTGGTTGCAATTAAAAAAAAATACTGCAAGAAAAAGATGAATAGTTGAAAGAGATCTTTTCAAAATTATATTTTGCACAATCTAAAGATGAATTTACATTACTTAGTTGCACAATTTTTCTTAATGGATATATTATAAAATTACATCATTATTCTGTAGAATATAATTAAAAAATAATTATAAAATATAATAAAATATTTTAAATAATTTC